ATAGATAGATAGATAGATAGAACAGTGATAGCTATAAACATATTGTAGTAGCTGGTAGCCTAAATAAATAGCTTCATCAATACCTACATAAGTGTTTATATAATTTGAGTTTGAATTATTCTCCAAGAGGTAAAAATTATTAAATTTCAAACAATATCGAAAATCTTACTCGTCAAAACGTTTGTTCATTTTCTACTGGATATACAACGACTCACCTTGCTTAAATATCAGGGGCATTCCTTTTTTATTTATTTTTTTCCAAATGTTTTTCTTTCTCGGACATTAAATAAGGCATAAAGCATTTTTAAATGATACATAATTTTTATATATTCTTTTTTTTTTTTTTTTCATTTTTAATATCAAAATTATATAACTGCAAAATATTTAACAACGATCATACAATAAAACAGACGCCACTTGTTTAATAAAAAATGATAGAGAATTGACAGTAGCAGACGATTGATCAGAATAGGTGAAGTCGTATTCAGATACCTACCTGATGGCAACCGGTAGAAACCCGTTCTATGGCGCACGGAAACACATCATAGCCATGGTATTTTCTTACCCTATCAAGGACATTCATTTGAGCGCCTTTAAATGTATAAGCTTTTGGAGTGTTATGCTTTTAATCCGTGGTGATCTTTTGAAAAATCTTCGGGATCATTTCAATTTCAAACGAAGACTTGGATTTGTGGCTTTTGGTTTGTTTGTTTGTTGTTTTGTTTTGTTTTGTTTTTTTAACAAAAGAAGAAACAGTTCACTTTTTTTTCTTTTAATAAAAAAAAGATTTTTGTGGGTTTGTTTTAGATCTTAACCATTTGTTAGATCAAACTGATCAAAATGAAATTTCCTCTTGAGATTCCACTTAGATGGTATTGGTCCATATGAAGCAAAAGATATAGAAGAAAGTAGTCCGTTGTTAAACCTATCGTCTGATCAATAGTCCTTGTGTGCTTTCAAGAAACGAGAAGTAAAGAGAGAAAGAACGAGAGAAAGCGAGAAAGCAAGAGAAGTTGAAGAGAACTAAAGATTCGAAGTACAATGTCGTTTTCAACCCCGAAAACGAGGTCTGGTAAGAATGGCAGTAACATGCAAATTAAGCTCGAATAAATAGAATCATTTGTTTGTGTTTTAACGTTTTTGTTAATCGGGAAAGGAGAAATTTGTGGTTTTCTATAAAAATCTGGCTAGAAGGTTGGGAGCTGTTGTTGCTATATAGTGACGACAGCGGTAAATACGGCGTTCGACATTGTAAAATGAAAACAACAAGAGTTTTTTTTTAAAACTTGGATTTCTGTTTATATTTTGGGGGTGGGAGGGTGAGTAAATGAATAATGAATTAAAAGTCGAATGAGAACATAAAAGAATGAATAGAGAAGAAGGAATGTGGCAATGAAAGAGAAAATCTGAGAAACATGGAAGATGGAATCCTTGCAAAAAAAAAAGAAAAGAAAAGAAAAAGACAAGAAAGAAAAAGAAGGAAGAAGTATAAAAGAAAGAAGAACGGGCTCTCGAAAAAGAAGAAAAAGAAAAAAAAAAGGCCTGAAGGACAGAGTGAGTGAACGACGAATAAATGAAAGAGGAAAAAAAGGAAGAATCAATAAAAGAAAGTTAAAAAGAAAAGAAGAAGAAGTTTGAAGGAAAAAGCGCGTAAATAGTTTTCAGAATTCAAAAAAAAGAAGGAAAGACGTTGAATAAATATTGAATGAATTTTGAAAGATATTTAGAAAGGAAGCGAGAATCTGGAAAAGAATCTGGGAAGAATATATATGTAAAATAAATGAAAGAAAAATAGGCAAAACAGATGTGAAGAAAGACAGAAAAAAGGGCTAAAGAAAAAGGAAGAGAGAACAAACAAAAGGAAGAATGAAATAAAATAAAAAAGAAAAGTAATAAAAAAATAGAAAAGTAAAAGAAAAAAAGAAAAAGAAAAAAAAGATAAGAAAAGAAGCAAATCAAAGGACAAAAAAGAAAGAAAAATAGAAGAAAGAAGGAAGAGAAGAAAGAAAGAGAGAAAATAAAATAAAGAAAGACAGAAAGAAAGAAAATAAGAAAGAAAGAAAGAAAGAAAGAAAGAAAGAAAGAAAGAAAAGGGAAAAGGGAAAAGAAAAAGAAAAAGAAAGAAAAAGAAAAAAAGGACGGGGGAAAAGCAGAACGGAAGCAACAAACGAAAGAAAGAAAGAAAGAAAGAAAGAAAGAAAGAAAGAAAGAAAAGAAAAGCAAAAATTATTTCACTAAAAGAAAGAGCTTGATAGAAATATGGACGGAAGGAAAAGAAGAAGAAAGAAAGGAGAGAAAAAGGAAACAAAGAGAGAGAGAGAGAGCGAGAGAGAGAGAGAAAGAGAGAGAGAGCAATAATAGGAGGAATGAAAAAAAAGTCGAAAACGGAACAAAGAAATAAAAAAAAGTGAAGAAGAAGTTTTATAGTAAGAAAGAAAATGAAGAAAAATGGAAAGGAAAAGAAAAGATGATCTGAAAAAGAAAACAGGAATGAAAGCAT